TGTTAGTTTGGAATTCATTGAAAGCAGTGATCTCCATAGCGAGTTTATGTTGTGAGGTATTGAAACATGTGGAAACTGAGAAGGGTTCTTCATATATGAAATCTGAAAAATATTTATTTGCTATGTTTGGGTCTAGGAATGATCGGGTAGAGCCGGTATCTATCAGTAATTTTAGTGGTGGATTATGGATTTTGATGAAAGGTAATACTCTCTCATTGGTGCTATGTGATTCGAACACTACGTGAAATCCGGTGGGTTGGTGGCTTCGGAAAAATTTTCGGATTCCTCCCGATTCTCATATGAATCTTCGAAGTTATAGCCTACGGCACCTTCTTCGGAGTTATCGAAGAAGTCTGAATTCTCTTCGGGGTATTCAATTTCGGGATAAGGACTTTGTTCAGTACTGAATAATTCCTGTGAGGAAGGGTTTCGTCGTTGTTGAGTGGTTTGTGATGGTCCGTGTGATATTCCGCTCATGGGGGTTGGACGAAAATTATTGGTTTGTCTTGGAGGATTCTTCCAGACATTTTGCGGGCGACCAAATACCTGGGTATTCGTGAAAAATCTTTGAGGTGGGCGATTGACTGGTTGGATAGGTATAGGTGCACTAGGAAAAGCGGGACGTTGGTTTTGATTGAAATTTGGGTTCGAGTTCTGGTTAGAATTCGAGTTAAAATGCGGGTTGAAGTTATACCTCGGAAAATTTTGATATGAGTGGTTGAAATTTTCTTGTTTAGGGTGGTTCTGATATGTGGGTCGTTGCATAGTTTTGGGGCGAGATGAGTTATTTTGGTATTTCACAATCGAATTATTTCGTGGGTTCTGCAAATTGTAAATATTGATTTCGTCGTTGAGTATAGTCAATGCTTGGGGCAAAGTCGTGGGATTTCTGGCTCTAACTCTGGCACTGAGGGGGTCCCTCAAACCGGTAAGGAAAACTCTCAGTGTTTGGTCTGTAAAGAGATTGCGTTGACTTGCTTTCTCAATTTCGTTTCGTGTATGTAAATCAATATTGTTACAGATTGTGTTGAGCATATGTATACAACGAGAATAAAATTGTTGTGGGGAATCTTGATCTTGTCTTAATGCCATCAAATTCTGTATCAATGTGTTGAGATCTCTCTGATCGCCGAAATTTTGGATCAATGTTTCTCGAATTTCGTTCCAGGTTGAAGCGTTATAAATATTGACTACTTCAAGGGCAGAATCTTTCAGTTTGGAAAATATTGTATTGGTAATCAGTATGTTCTGAGGACAAGCGGGATTTGCCTCGTCATAATAAGTTGCGGTTATTTGAGAAACTGTTTTAACGAATCTGACAAGTCCGATCGGGTTCCCATCGTAATCGGGAATGGTTTTTAAGAGATCTGAATTAACTATTGGAACTGGCATTTTGAATGCTTTTGTTGTTAGCTTTTACGTATAATATGAGGTAATTGTTGGGGGATATTATAGGAAGTGATACTCTGGAGCACAGAGGAGTCTGACCGTATAAATGAATATGTACTCATAATAAAACCAATAAAACCATTATCTGTGGCGATGGCTTCTTCCTTGGGCTGCTACTTGGGCTGCTACTTGGGCTGCTCCTTGAGTTGCTTCTAGTAATCCTTCGTAACTATGAACCTCCGGATCCTCGATGGAACGATGGTTCGCGATTCCGAATTAACAGTAGATACTGCAGAAGTGTTTTTCGATAAACGCACGACTTTCGGAATCCTACCGACTGCGCCAATTATATTTATCGATACTCGAATACCCTTTTTAAAAAGAATTTATTTCGACATCGATTCAATAAACTGATACAAAATTATTAAGTTCAAACTTTACAATACGGATGCTACAATCAGACTGATGCTTTTCTGGTTCTTCTAGGCGAAGTTGGATAAAAGCGTGGTCAGCACTCTTCTCGGGAGAAACAGCAAGGTTGCATTTCTCTACAACATAATTCCCGTCATACGGGATTTTTTTTATTATTCAGTTTGTGCAAATCAGGGCAGTTGTTACTTTGGAGATACTTTGAAAATGAAGTTCATGATTGTTTTTTTTAATCAGCAATAACAATCTAGGGTCATTCATGAACCGTTTTCGTATGCTCTCGATCTCCTGAATAATTCATGAGAATGATGGAAAAAATATTTTCGATTTACAAAAAATACCTGAAACATCACAGAGGGTGCAAAATGAAAACGTGCATAGTTAATTAAAAGGTCTCCCGTTAGTAGATATATTTTTTTTCGACAACTATAAATTCAAAATCATATTCATATACTGTGACTCGTGTGTACACCCCTACTCCCGTTTCTTATTTTTGATGTTGAATGGCTTAAAATTCGTTGCCTCGAATATCACCACCAAATATACACGAAGAAAAATGTATTGTTGAATCCACTCATCACACACCTACACTGAAAGTACATGCTTGCACTATCCACAAAAATGGTGGAAATATTTCCTGTGGTAATAGTAGAAATCAACAGGAATATCAGATCCCCCGACTCTCAGATACGCTCTCGCTAGGAATGTATTCTTTCAAATTTTATTCTCAAGTGGTTGTCCGAATAATATACTTTCTAGAAAGAAGGTTCATTCAAACGGAGTTAGGTCCATCGGATATTATCTTTCGAGAGGGGCAAAATATTCTTGGAAATACTGACGCTCTGCCACTAACTTACCTCAGTTTAAATCGCGGCACGTTTGTATATCAGCAAATTGGATATTAATCCCCTTTCATTTGCTTTCTGTTTCAACTTGTTATCACAGATTGAGGGATGGCACAGGTAGGTTTTTGAGATCCACCATTCAATTGGTTTCGGATGGCACAATTCTCATCTCGTTATCAAATCGCGAAATTAAGTGTGAATGACCGCACAGGAAAGTGCCATTTTCCAATCATTTTGCTCAGGGTAGTGATTGGCACAGGTGCCATATGATAAATTACAATGTATTTACATGCCCTTGGGGCATATATCATTTTGTTTTCAGGTGACGGTCGAAATATGCAGTTTTTTGTAAATAAAATGTATGGGTAGGTAGGTAGGTACATTTTTATCAACCCACTGAAAAAAAGATATAACAAACTATATGAAAAATTTTTTTTACCTATAAAAAAATACAATAAATAACACTATAATAAATACTTGGGAAAATTCCGAAATTTCATGAAACCTTTTTCATTTTTATTGAGTTTCGGTATTTTTGTGAACGAAAAATTGGAAAATAAAAATTTGTAATAGCTATCATAACTTTTGGGATATCCTAAAGCAGGGTTGGAATAAGTCATCAAAGTCCCCGACTTTTTGAATTAAGTCAGACTTTTTTGAATTAATTCATTTGGAAAAAAAAACAAACAAATTTCATTTACCCAAAGCGAAATATAAAAAAAAGAAACAAAAAACTATGTTTTTATTCCCTTCAGAAATCTTGTAGAATAACATCATGATATAACATGTCATTTTTGCAAAACAATATTAAAAGTGACGATAGAATACAAAATAATAGATACATATAGATCCAGTATCATCCATAAAGTTCGTAACACATGGAGAAAAAGTTTATTAGTAGAATATTGAAACATTTTTTCCCGGGGATCTAATATGCATGTCTGACTACTTAAAAGTCGATTTTGACACATGTCACTTGACCACTGGTATGGCGGTAAATTCAAAAAATTACGATGGCAAAAAGTGGGGTTAGATGGGAAGATGAAGGTATTTAAAAAAAATGAAAATAGCTATTTTCAGTTTTCTCAAATAATGGCTGGAAACTCCATATGTGAGCATGAAATTGAATTCTATTCAACTTGTACATCATCAACATCACTACTGTCAGAAAAAAGGGAATTGTAACAAAATTGAAGAATATTCGAAAAAATATAGCTATTTTCCATTCTACTCCAAAAATTGCTGAAAACTGAATGTGGAATAGCAACTTAATAAGAAATATTTATGGATATTTTGTTATGTAACTTCACTTTTCGTCGCTTTATAGTATTATTTTTATTCATCACCATACCATAAATCACGTGACATGTGTCAAAATCGATTTTCAAGTTATCGGATATGAATAATGGATCGCCGAGAGAAAAAAATTCGATGCTGTGATAATAAACCTGTTCTCATATGTTATGAACTTTATGGATGATACTTGATACTGTATATATCTGTTAGTGAAAATCTCTGTCATGCTTGAAATAACAAAGTCTTGCCAAAATAGGATCGAATTTTTCAGTTTAAATCAGTTAAAATCAAAGGTAATAGTGCAATTTGTCTCATTTTTAAAAATTTGAATGAATTCATGACTTTTTCAAAAAAATGGAATTAATTCACGAATTAAATCACTGATTTAATTCATATGAATTAATTCATGCCAACCCTGTCCTAAAGTGGAATAAAATGAAATAAAAGATCTAGGTCCCTATGATGAGGCTCTGATTCCAACCATTATCCTGTATATTTGATTGAAGAAATGAAGAGGGGGGGAGGGGTGGTTAGAATGGGACATATTATACATACTCAAACATTGGTTGATTATACAGGGTGTTATTTAATTGACAGAAAAAAATATTTTAAGAAGAGTTCCTAACTTTTGAGCTATAGGGTGATAATATTTTATTTCCTCTTTATTATTGATTAAGGAAATTTTGAAAATGATTTTTTTTTTAAAGCAAGAGCTCACAATATTTATTTATAAAAATCTTCAGTATACATTCCACATGGATGTCAATGGTAGAAATATTGAAAAATATCCTGCATCAAAAATAGGCATATTTGTGATTAGTAGGTACAAGTCAAATTTCATGAAAGTATCTACAACAGTATAGAGGTTTAGGGCATATGTTCATATGAACTTTTCTTTTTAAAATGAGCCTATAGGCACCATATTCTATATTTTTAACCATCAATTAAATTACACACCCTGTATAAAAGTGGTACAAAATCATGAATTTAAAAATTTACTAAAGGTTTGGTGCCCAACATATCATCTGACACATCTATTACCTGATGATCATCACTTTTTTGTGGCACAGTAATCAGATCATTGATATATTTCAAACTTTCCTGCATATTATTCAAAAGACTTTCAGTTTGCAAATTTCTCTCAACAAGTTCTTTCTCTTGCTGTGAAAAAGTTTCATTTAATTTTTGCAGTTCCTCAATATTTTTATCAATGAAGGCATTGGTTGGATTGGGAAGTTCCAATGATTTTCTCTGAAGTATTAGGTCAATTCCATGGAAAAATGCAATCAAATCAAGTTCAGTTGAGCTCTTCAGGTCACATTCTAGTTCAGCTGGGAATTTCAAGTCTTCTTTGTTTTCCAACACTGAATCATCTCCTGAAAATATTCATAAAATCCATCTATGGGCAATAACCATCATCAATACTGATTTGAAATTGAAAAGTTGTGGATATGTGATATAAATACCTTTCAAATATGTTAGTAAAGTTTCTGCCTCTGCAAATAGTACATGAATATTTTGCAAATTATCCCATTCCTTTTTTAAAACCAAGAATTTTTCTTTCAAGCTGTTCAAACTGGGATAGTTGGGGTATTTCCTGTAGAACTCCTCTTTGATTTGCAAGAGTTTGTTCTTGGCTTCCACAGTCTTTTCCTCCAATTTGCTGGAATTTTCGACCGTAGACACTGCTTTCAACTTAAGCTCTTCTTGAAACCTTTTAAATGTGTCTAACTGCAACCGATTGTTATTCTCAATAGTTGCAACTTGCTTCTTCATACTTTCAATGGAAGCTTCTGTTATAGTTGGACTTTTACTAGGTTTCAAAGTATGTAGCAGAAAGCCATTTGTTTTCCTCACATGTTCAGACAGAACCAATTGAGACAACTTCAACATGAATTTGGTGAACTTGTAACCACCTGGGGATATCAATTGGGAAGGCATTATGGGTGGAATGTCCGCATTACCATAAAGATTATTCAATTCGTTAATGTATCTCAACAGTTCACTTCGAAATTTGTTTTCAAGTTTAATTTCATATGGAGGCCAGGTCGTCAATTTATCTTTGGTGAGCTGGGGATTCAGGATGTCTAGTAGGTAATACACAACTTGATAGAAAGCAGCCTTGTTGTTTTTATGGAACATGTCCTTCTTGAAAATTCTTTTGAAATCAGTACATGTGGGGTAGCAATGGGATAACAAGTATAAATTGTTGTAGAGTTGTTCATGTACCTTTTTTTCCGATTCTTTGTACTGCTGAAGATCTGCCATTGTAATCAGAAGGTAACACAAATATCATATCAATCTATTCAGACTACTTGAAATATCAATGAAAAGAAATATCGGTTAATTTGAAATCTTCTTCTTCTTCTTCTTCTTCTGTTGTCTTTATTGGTTTTCTGACTCCTTGCGGTGCCAATTCCACCAGATCGGGTATAGGATGTATTTACTTTATGTTAAGGATTAGGAAGGTGATTGACATGTTAATTCCCTTTGTTAAAGTGTGGATGAGTTTTATAACATTCAAGGTTCCCATAGAACATCACAATTCTACAAAGATAATAGAAGTAAAATAGAGTAATTGTTCCAGTAATTTCCATACAGTATTCAGATAGTAATCAGACTTTTTTCAATAAATTTACTCAACATTTTTATTTTGTCATGATTTAAGTCTCTTAGAATCATTTGATATGAGAATGGAGGTTTGAGCCCTGATTTTATTAACTTTGAATATAGATTATCAATGTTTTGTTTATTATTATCGCATTCGAAAAAGAAGTGGTTAATATCTCCTATTTTCCCACAATCACAAAGATTGTTTTCCTTTATTTTGATTCTACATAGGTGATCTGGTAAACTACAATGCCCAATTCTCAGTCTAGTTATTGCTGAATATATTTTCCTCGGGAGGAATTGACAAGTGCTGAACCAAGGTTTAATTTGAATAAGGGGTTGAATTTCTTTAAGTCTTTTACCTCTAATGTTTGAAGTCTCATTCCAGAAATTCTGGAATTTGTTTTTCATAAGAGTTTTGATATGAGGAATCAGGTCCAAATTTTGGATTTTGTCTGTTTTGTATCTAATATTTGCATTTTTGGCTGCTTCATCTGCTTTATCATTACCTTCTATATTACAATGGCCTGGAATCCAGCAAAGTATGATTTCAAAATTTTCTTTTTTAAGCTCAAACCATGTCTCTTTAATTTTAAGATATATATAATTAGTACTAGTATTTATTACGTTATTATGCATACCTGTAATTGCGCTCTTAGAATCGGAGCAAATTAAGTATCTATCTGGTTCATCATTTATTATTAATAATGCAAAGTATATTGCCATTAGTTCTGCAGAAAGAATAGAGGATTTTGGGTGGATTATTCCCCCCTTCGTCATATTTTTGTGAGGAATATATATACCAAACGATGTCTTGTCTTCAGTCTTAGACCCATCAGTAAAAATTAATTTATGGTTAGGCCATTTCTCATTAATGATATCTAGGAATTTCGAATTATTAGACCTATGAATTTTGTCTTTTTTCTCTATACCTATACTATGATAAATCTCATACTTGTCATATATACTTTCGAGTGGAATATTGAATGCAGGATGGTTACTTGAAGATATAACTTGGTTAAACGGTGGCAACAAGGACTCACGAATAGAGTTATATAACATACTATTTCTCCATTTGTTGCAATGCATGTTTGTTACCGTTTGTTCAAATATTTTCATTATTTTAATTATAGGATTTGATGCCTAATTGTTTTACAATAAATTTAAGGGTTATAAGGTTTTGTTTTATGTCCAAGGGATATTGATTTGCCTCTACTAAAATAGCATTGGTAGGAGATGATTTCATAAGACCCAAGCAGATTCTAAGTGACTTGTATTGAATACTGGATATCTTCTTTATATTATTTTTACTGGTATTTCCATAGATCATTAGACCATATTCGATTCTTGATGAGATTAATGCATTATGAATAGTTAGCATAATTTTAGGATCAGCTCCCCAACTAACTTTCGTCAAATATCTGAGAATATTTAAAATTTTATTACATTTATTAATTAAGTCAGTTACATGAAATTTCCACGTCATTTTCCTATCAAAGGTGATGCCCAGAATTTTGTGCTTTTCGACCTGAGCCATTCTGTTGTTATCTATTTCAATATTTATGTTTTCTTGTTGGTGGGATTTGGAAAATACCATAACTTTTGATTTATCGGTTGAGATTGATAGACCATGATCTTGTAACCAATTTTCTATAGAAGATAAAGCTCGATTAATGTGATGTTCTGCAAAACGTGTATTTTTGAGTGATTTGAAAATAGTTATATCATCTGCATATTGGATATATTTGCAATGTGGAGTTATTGCGTCCCATAGGGATATAGTGTATAAATTGAATAAAATTGGACTCAACACTGAACCCTGTAAAATGCCCTTATAGCATTTCCTTGGACCCCAGATTTTGTGATTTTTGTCTCTAATATAAATATTTTTTTCTTTTATCAATTCAAAAATTATCTTGACCACATTTCTATTTATTCCTATATCTAGTAGATTTTTAATTAATATTTCCGGGATAACATTATCATATGCCGATTTGATGTCCAGAAATACAGCTAAAGTTTTTTCTTTTTTCAGATTACTTATCAAAATATCAGCATATAAGTGAAACAGTGCTTCTATAGTACCCTTTCCCTTTCTAAATCCGAATTGATTGTCAGGAAGTATTGTATTATGCTCTAACCACCAGTCCAAACGGTATTTGATGAGGTGTTCAAATGTTTTCTTTAAGCATGATGTCAGAGCAATTGGCCTATAACTATTAAAATCATTCGGATTTTTCCCAGGTTTTAATATAGGGATAAGGATAACATCATTCCATTCTTTAGGCGTTTCTACACCATTTAACCATATGTCATTGTAGAAATTTACTAACCATTTGAACGCCTTTTTTGGTAAATGTTCAATCATCTTATATGTGATTTCGTCTTTTCCAGGTGATGTAGCTTTTAGTTTTCCTATAATACATCTAACTTCTCTTTCTGTAAAGGTATAATTAATGTCCCTATTGATCTGAATTCTGTCTACCTCAGGAGGAGGTCTCTGTATATCAGCAGGGCAGAATTTATCTAATAGTGATTCTACTAAAGTCGTGTTGTCTATATCATTATCATGATTATTAGGTTCAAAATTAAATGGCCTAGAGAATTTTTTGATGTTACGCCATACATCAGAGATGTCACTTTCTCTGGATAAAGACTCTGTGAATTTTTTGAATGCTTTCTTTTTTTTGTTTTTGAATATTTTCCTGGATTTAGCTATTTCTTTTTTGATTTCTATAAAGTTTTCAATATTAGAATTTAGTTTATACTTTTTAAAGCTTGCTGACCTCTTTTTTATAGCGTCTAAGCATTCCTCATCCCACCAAGGCGGTTTCATCATATAATTGTTTCTATTGTTAGTATTTATAGTTGGGGTGTTCTGTGAAAGACTCCATCTCATTGCCTGAACTAAATCTTCATATGATTCAATATCCAAAGTATCTATGTTGCTCTCATAGTCTAACCAATTGGTTTTCTTATAATTGTATCTTATGTTTCTATCGTCATTATTTATTATATGGTTTTTATCTATGCAATTATCTATCATTATTTCTGTATGAATTGGGAAATGGTCTGATCCATATGTGTCATTTACTGTATTGCAAAAGTTCACATCATTTAATAAATTTGCAGATATGATAATGAGGTCAATAACACTTTTTGATTGACTGGAAAGCAATGTGGGTTGAAGATCATTTATGATAATCATATTACCATCATCTATGGCAGAATTAAGCTCAATTCCTCCTCTATTGTTAATAGAATTTCCCCAACTTTTGTGGTGACAGTTGAAGTCTCCACATAGAATAAATTTCTGATTATCAGTAAGATTTGTCCAGAAATTTTCTGGAACAGAAATATCAGGAGGTATATATATAGAAAAAATGTCTATATCTTTGATTTTAATTCCCATTATATTTACTCTATGAGGGATTTGAAATTGGATATTTAACTTATTAAATTTGATATTATTTTTGATCAAAAACCCAGCACCACCTTTTCCATCGTCTCTGAAATGATTTAATGATTTATATCCTTTAACTGATATGTATTGATTAGGTTTTAACCAAGTTTCAGTTAAACAGACTATGTCTGTCTGAATAGTTTCAAGTAAGTTACATAAATTGGCTTTATTGGCATGAAAGCTTCTCATGTTCCAGTTGAGTATACTCAGCTTTACCATGCAGAAGCTTTCTCTCCAAGTTCTGTTGAATCAAAATTGTCAGTAGGTGGAACGAATTCCTTAATAAGTTCAAGAAAGAGTTCGGGGTATTTGAAGTAGATGTTGCTAATATCATCTCTAATTTTTTGTTTTGTATAACTAATTGGTGGAGGTAATCCTCTAGATAATTCATTGATAGGCATCACAGAGGGAGACGACCTTATTTGGCCATCAGGACTAATGAGACAATCTCTGTGTTGTTGACTCATTCCAGAAATTCTTTCCCTATAGTTTTTATCTTTGCTATGAGTATTATGATTAGAGGAAATATTGGATTTTATTCTTGTTATTTTATTGTATCCTTGCGGAGTTTTTACCCGGGAGGGAGTATTTTCATTTATAGATTGGTAAAAAGTTGTATCATCATTAGGTAATTGTGGAAAATTGTTTACATTGAAATTAAATTGACTATTTTGCTCATTTCTCTTATTATTATCTATCATCGGAATAATCTTAGATGCTTCGAAAAAGGTTATATTTCTTTCTGCTATTATTTCTTTGATTCTTTTCTGCCTATGAAATTCTGGACAAATTCTATTTTTCACTGATTTATCTGGCTCGCTAGTGAGATGATCTCCTCCACAAAATATACATGACATTTCTTGTTCTTTACATTTCTCAATACCATGATTTTCTCCACATTTTGGGCATCGTACTTTTCCTCTGCACTGATTTTTTGTATGTCCGTATCGCAAACATTGATGACATTGTATCACCGGTGCATAATAATTTAATGTTTCAAATGAGCAAGAGTACATAAACACTCTGTTTGGTATACATTTTCCTCGGAAAGTAATAAGAATGACTGGGATATCCTTATATTGGATACCTGAATCTGTTATTACTTTCTTTTTTAATCTTCTAACATGAATTACTTTTTTGTTATCTATTGTTCTAAGATTATCTAGAATTTCTTCTTCTGTAAGGTCCAAGTCAATATCTTTAACTATTGCTTTAGATGTAACCATATTATTAGGGATTGAAGCTCTAAATTTATTAGTAGATAGAAAATGATTATCATCTAGCAATTTGTTAGCCTCATCCATTTTTTTAAATGTTAGCATCAATCTGTTTTTGCCTCTTCTATCAATTGAAGTTGGATTATATTGTTTGCTTATATGAAAGATTTTTCCCACTGCTAAGCTAGATAGAAAGCCAATATTTTTATCTAATGATTCGATGTATATACTATATGGACCTCGGTCTGAAGTTTCATATCTATTTTCCAAAAATTGTTTATCTATATGTATTTCCTCACTTCCAGGGGAAGCTATTTCCATATCATTATTTTTGTCTGATTGAGATTTATCTGGAACTATATCTATTTTAATGCGTTTACCTTCCCTATCAACAGAATTAATTTTATCTAGAGAGTTATGTTTTTTGTTCTTTTTTTCTGAAATATTGTTGTATGCTTTTTGTATGACCAGGTCTGATAAGATGTTTACCTTAGCTGGACACTTGACCTTGAGATCGTTTTCGTCATTAATGAAGAATCCTTCCCTTATGACTTCATTGAATTCGGACGTAAAATCCTCATTAATGTTAATGTTTAGTATCAAATCCTTACACTTCTGTGAATCAAATTCCTTAGCGTATGCAAAATTGAATAACAGATTAACCGCTTCTTTTGTGGATGGCGATCTATTTATAAGATTTTTATAGACAGATATATCTTCATCAGAAAAAGGACTCCCCCCGGGGTCACCGGGGGTATTATCCCCCATTTCAACTCACAAGGATTTAAAAAACTATTTTTGTTCCAATATCAAAATGAAAAAAAAAAATAAAGATATAATTATAATACTTGTATGAAAATTCCTCGAAAAGAATGAAGAGAATGAAAAGACAATCACATACACTTACGTGTCTGTTAATTCTACCTGGAATTATAATGGATTATAATATGGATAGGAGTTTTTTTCTTGACGCTGTCAGAAGGCTGATGTGCACCATACGACGTTCACCGCAAGAATAAGTAATTTGAAATCGAATTTCAAATAAATTATTTCAAATTTTCATTATTTGAATTGAGTACTGTCATATTTCAAGTGTCAAAGAAATGTCAAGGCGTTCCAGCATTGCCAACCTTTTCTATACCTCGGAAAACCTTATTCATAAAGTAATATGAGTTCTGTGGACTAGGGCACAGAAATCATCACATGACTTTAACGTCAATTTCCATCAAGGTACCCTAAAGTCGATAAAGTTGCGACTCATAGGTCGCGTGCACGATGACCGACCCTGGAGGCAAAATATTGAAACACAACCTCATTCTTCTGTGAATTATTGAAATACAACCTCACTTTTTCATTTGTTTACAGAGGAATCAAAAGTTTGAAATAGTTTTTCACAATATTTTGGCTTACGAATCGTGTTTCTTGCGTTATTCATTAATTCAAGCATGCCTTCGCATTGTGCTGTTGTACAATGCACAAAAAATGCAGCAAGAGACTAAAGAATATGATTTTTCAGGTAAATAGTAATCTCACATAGTTATCAATATGATATGTTGTCATTCCTTATTAAAATTCCTTCTGCCTTCTGCGACTTCTGCAATACAAGTTAATACTGCTAATAGATTGCAAATGTCTAAAATACACACGATCGTCAGCATGTCAGACCAGTCCTCCCGATTGATTGCATGAATCCAATCTTCGGCATTATTTTAGAAATTTCAGGTGTATTTCTATTAGCTCCTATCGCAGAAGGAATTCCGATGAGGAATCAGAGAAATTACCAAATTTCAAAAATGACAACTATATGTGAGTACTATAGCAGGTACTTACTTTTAAATCATATTGTACCAACTGGATTACTTCGTCTTCCGCTGCAGTTTTTGTGCATTTCACAACAGCATAATGTGATGGCATGAGCGAATTGATGAATAGCGGAAAAATACGATTCAACTATTTCGATCACTTGTAAACAAATAAGAAAAGTGACGTTCTGTTTCAATGTTTTGCCACCAGCGTCGGTTATCTGACAGTTCTTGCACGCAACCCATTGCAGTTTTTGCGACATTTTATGTTCAGCACTTCATCAGCTGGCAACACTGACATTCAGGATCCATCCATAACCCAACTTTTTGTAGTTTTTGATAGTTATGTTTTGATACTGTCTACACGACCGCCGCGGCGGTTGGATGCTGATTCATAAACGACCGCCGCGGCGGTTGGATACTGATACATAAACAACTGCCGCGATGATATTTCTTCCTTCTTCATAGAGAGTACTTCCGAGCAAAGCAAAGCGATAACTCAGTTGGAAATTCACCTGACCACCACGCCTGTGGCTCGGGTTCAATCCCTACTAGGCCTTATTTTTTTTAAACTTTTTTTCACAAATAATTCCTCGAAAAATATACTTCTCAGGAGAAAGGTTCATTTAGGTGAGTTAGGTCAGTTTGTTTGAAAAAATTAGTCTTCTTTTTGATGCAGAAACGATATTTTCCTTCCTCATGTCTCACGGCGGTCTTCTATATAAAAATAGGTAACCGCCGGCGGTTGTTTATGTTTCAGTATCCAACCGCCGCGGCGGTCGTGTAGACAGTGCCTTATGTTTTAGTAAAAAAGGATTAATGAAAATGAATATTCCCCGTTATGAATTTCGCAAAGAAAATAAAGCCCTCCTCGCTGAATTTCTGAAGAAATCCGAAGAATACAAGTCGAATAAATTTTGTAACCTCCAAGAACATGATAGATTGACAAACATTTTGCCAGTGGTAGGAATTATCATACTACCACGAAAACATTAGTATTCCAAGATTGACTAGTTTTCAGAATGAACATTTGAAAGAGCTGCTCATTGAAGAAGTTGTTGATATTACCCAAAGTGATGGAGACATTTCTGAGGGGCACAGTGAAAATTTACAAGCCCTTGACATCTCCATAGAAGATGTTTTCAATGCACCTGAATCAAGCCAAAGAATTTTGAATGAAACAACCATAGATGACATCACTTATGCAATCAAGGAAAATTTAGAAACTGAGAAATGCCTCTCTGCAAGTGTAATAGGCACCTTACACAAATCAGATTTGAATCTTGAAGATGTCTTTTTGAATCTATCCAATGAGTTGAACTATGAGGAAGTTCTGAATCTTGGATTGTCCCTAAATTCAGCTCTCATTGGTGATGATAGGATAATATCACATTTCATCAAATACCTTTTACTAAAACAGGTAAACTTTTTTGAAGTTATTTTTGATTCCATTTCATTACCAATTACACATATTTTGTGATCCTTTTGCAGCTTGCAGTGGAGTTCTCAGACCAGTTCCAATCAATCTACAATGAATTTTGCCAAAGATATTCAAACATTTTGATGGAAGAGTTAACAAATGTGATACTAAATACTAAGACTGATTATACCAGAGTTTTTTTACAATATCTGAATGAATCAGAAACCAATTTCAAATCAAAACTATTCAGGTCAGTACCAAAAAGGATTTCTTAAGAGTGTGAATTTAAAATTCAAAATACATTATGAAAACTATTTTTTTAGAAAGAATAACTAAAAATAAACAGTGTCTGTGTTATGATCAATTATTTCCTGTCCTGAAAAAGTTGACTTTGTCATAAATCATAAAATATTCTGTATGATGAACATAGTTTATTCCAAGGTTTATTCTTGAACAATACATGAATTTTCTGGAAAATTATCATTAATTTGAGTATACAACCCAATATGGAGCTTTTCCATAGTTTTCTACATTTTCAGGAACTTCATTTTCAATTGCACCACACTCCAAGATAACCACATCCCTCTCATAGAAGCCCTACATGGTACATCAGACATCGACTCTCTGAACAAACTGGTAGAGATAATGTCAATGTCAGCAAATAATTATTCCACCAATAAACCATTTGGAAAGCTGCTTCTGAATGTGATAAAAGTTTTGGGGAAAAATATTCAAACATTGGAAAGGCCCATGAATCACATAATTGCTACTCACAAATCTGTATGGAAGGGGAAAATACAAAAACAGTATAAGGAAAATTTACAAGACAGTATTCTGATGTCACAATCCTTTAGATATTAGTGCAAAATAAATATTTTTATATTTCACACTGTTATGATGTGTTATTTATTACCACTGAAAATAAGAAAAATGCTGAGAAATGAAAATAGGAAGAAAAATTTCATTTCATTTGAATATCATATTCAATTCATGTAAATCAGGTACTTGAATTATGGAATACTCCTGGTACATGTCTATAAAGAATTAATTTCTCTCCGATTTTTAGTTTTTATAAAAAACATCCCCAAGTTGTCTAGAATGAAAAACTGATTTAATCACTTTGTTTTAAAATTTTGAATACTTAGCAAAACATTTTCTAGTATGACTTTTGATTTTTCAGCATCATATCTTCATAATCAAAACTGTTTTTTTTTTCAATAAAATCTTGTTCTTTATTTGGAAGTAGTGATCATACGATTCTTTTTCACCAGATGATAGTTTCACTAGTCTAAGAATCAGAAAATGTGACAATCATTATAAAAAATTTAATGAGTGTACAATTTCCATAGTTTCAGACCAAACATGACACTTCCGGAATTTTTTTTACAAATTCATGTACCAGACAAATTTCCAGATATTAATTCATGCACTTGGGAGATTTTACACAGGAATTATATTTAAAAAGAATACATTAAAGTGAATATTTACGTAAAATAAAATTTATAGTTAAGGTTATAGTGACGTCAATATGTCAACACATACAGTGTTGCCAGTTGGAAGGAAATGACTGAATGACCAACCGCCCGAATATGGATATGTCTAGTGTTACGATCGTCGGACGTTATAATGTTTTTTGGAACCAACTCAAAAGCCGTCCATTTATGTTTCAAAATCAGCACTTGAAGTTGATAAATGAACTTCAATATTTGTATTTGATGAACCATGCACCTAAACAATATACTGAATATGAAATTTAATGATAATGAAATTCTTATAAAGAATAATAACTTGAAGAATGATTTATTATATAACAACATCAACAAATAATCACAGATATTGACATTGAAAATAACTTATTTTTCTACCAATACACAATTATGTCTTGAATTATTTTTTTTAATGAAACTGATCAGTATTCACATTTAACACAATAATAAAAACTTTGAATTCAATTTTGAGGTTATCTAATCGTTTTGAATGTTTTTCAATTACTATAAATTGGTGAGATGAAATAGAAATTCGATCAATTGATTTTATTTCGTGGGAAAATAAATAGTGGTTCATCTACTTATATTGGAAATTATGAAATACAAGAGTTGTTCTTACTTCAATATTCTCAATATAATTCATGAGGAAAACCCACAAAAACTCATGAAACCACTATGTCATTACAATAAACTAACACAAATCATATTTGAATCATTCGGCCAACACAAAATATCATTATAATACCATCATTCAACTTACATCTTTCACAGCAGTCATTGGAAGTAATGGACCATCTTCTGCGCTTACGCACTCAATGGTTTAGGCATTTTGAATAAATCGAATTCCACCTATGATCCACAAATAAATCACAAAAAATTCCTTGAAAGTACAAATTGTCAGTAATGAATTATTCGCAGAGATCAGCTGATCACAACAAATCGCTTCTAGAAATGTCAAATAAAACTGGCATCGGTGTACAGTTTTGCCAACTTAAATCGATAACGCCGTTCGCCCATTTCGAAAGTTACTAGTATTTTTCAATGTGCAGTTTTGGCACGACATTGTTACCAAGTATTGCGCAACTATCAACCCAGGGTGTAAGCCCTTTATCAGATACATTATTATATAAATATAATTATTTCCATATGATTTTCTTACTAGGTTTCCGGAAATTAAAAAATATTGTCAGAATTATTTTAATTTTTATATGATAGCTGTCATGTGCCACAAAATTTCGATTTATTAATTTTACGTCTACATGCTCATGAGAATGACTCATGAGGATGAAACATTTCCGAAAAATCTGCTGGTTTTGCATAGTAAAAATGTCGAAATAAAGCATATGATTGGCTGAAAATGACTGGTATGAAATTTTCAATGCAAAAGAGACAAAGCGCAACAAATAATCCGTGCCGAAACATCTTGATCATTTGATCGTGATATCGTGATTCTACATACGAGAGTCGTTTTATTTTATGTACCAAAAGTGAGTAAATAAACTAATATCACAGAACTTTCTTGAGTTAGGGCTTCGTGTCGTCCATGAATTCACCACTGAAAATCGAAAATATAACGCACCGTTTCCAATGAGACAAAAAATTGTGAGAATTAAAATGTGAACTCCAATGAATATGTCATGATACCTGTAAATTTAGTTTGAAACTTCGCTAATTTTACAAAGTAGGCGATATCGAGAGATTCCGAAACGCCTTTCAATAGGAACTGATAACACCAGTTGTTGACTTTAAATACATCAAGGATTACATCAAAGGTAATACATCGGTAGTACATTCTACAGTGTTTATTCGAGCCACTTTGTTGGCGGAGGGCGTGGCGTCGATGACTTATCCACGTTTCGTATGACCATGAATTCAAAAATGTCCATTGCAAATCATAGTAAACGCCGTGTAGGCGAATGAATTACTGATTTATTTCTAGCAGATATTTCAAATGAACTTATTAAGGAATTAAGTAATACGCCTAATGACCAAAGTAGAGATTTGGAGACTAAAATTTTCAGATAGGTTATATACCTATTATATTTTTTGATAACACTCCCTGCTTATGCCTGTAATATCAATTTCGAAATTTGAGTGGGTAGACCTGAAAAGATTTTCAGACTTTTATATCATCTATACTAATATTATAAAGAGGAAAGATTTGATTGTTTGTTTGTTTGTATGTATTGAATAGGTCCCGAAACTACTGGATCGATTTGGCTGAAAATTGGTGGGGAGGTAGCTTAGAACCAGGGGAGGGTTATAGGATACTTTTTATCCCGGTACCATCAGAAAATTCAAGATGGCGAATCTGATATATCGGACGAGTTTTGTAATTATGGTCCGGTTCTATTCAAAATTGGTATCTGGGGGTTTTCGGGGTCGGAGATTATGATTCTTTCGTCAGAACTTGAAAATTCGGGCGGAATTTGGAAATTCAAGATGGCGGAACCAATATGGCGGACGAGTTTTGTAATTATAATCCGATTCTTCTCAAAATTGGTACCTAGGGGTTTTCGTGATCGGGGATTATGATTCCTTCGTCAAAATTGAGAAATTCAAGATGGCGGATCCAAAATGGCGGATTTTGTAATTGGGATCCGATATTGTTTTCAAACTTGGTATCTGGTGGATCTCGGGGTCGGAGATTATGATTCTTTCGTCAAAATTAGAAAATTCAAGATGGTGGACCCAATATGGCGAACGGGTACTGTAATTTTGATCCGACTCTCTTAATTGTTATCTGGGTGTTTTACGGGTCGGAGATTATGATTCTTTTGTCAAAATTTGGAAAGGTCGGGATTTGGAAATTCAAGACGGTGGAATAAAATATTCCAGACGAGTTTTTTAATTATATACCGATTCTATTCGAAATTTGTGAGTGGGCGTTTTCGGGCTCAGAAATCATGATTCCTTCGTCAAAATGAGAGAATTCAAGATGGTTAGTTAGATCGACTTTTGTAATTATGTTCCGATTCTATTCAAAATTGGTGAATTCAAGTGCACTAAAAAGAAGTTGAAATAAATGATTGTTTGAAAAACTAAAGAAACACGCTGTTATAGATAGCGAATGAACTAAAAAGAAGTAGAAAATAAAATAATAATAGTGCCTTGATGAATATTGAACTGAAAAAATATATTTTAGAAATAATGTATAAAGCAAAGCAACGTTTGCGAGGTCTGCTAGTCTAAATATATTTTCGATGAATTATTATTGGGAATTAGGTACCTACTGTGAATATTTTTGTGATGTGTTGAGTACCTAAATGTTTTCATAAAAGTGAAAGTTATAGGTAAGGCAAATGAAATGCCATTAATTTTAATGAATTATTGACATCCAATTACTCCACTGTATCGTTTTAGGAACCCAAATTAATTTTGGCAACACTTCTAACGCTTTTTTTTATGTAAATGATGAGCCTATGCGTTGTTCGAAGTTGTTTAATTTCAGAGCTCATTTCAAATGAACCTTCATGGCCGCCATTTGGAGATATGTCGAATACATGGTGACGTCAGTTTTATGCTGTTTCGATATTGGTCAGATAATCTTCCATTTCCACTCATGAAGCAAGGTTTGTCGAGTCATCAATTATAATGTTATGTTAGAGATGTTAGAGTTCTGTCGTTGAATAATATATGATACTATAGTTCATTCTTGACTTCACCGAGCAACCAACATGTCCAAATACTTCTTATTCTCTATAACAAAGTATGTAAATGTCGGAGACTTGGCAACATTGTGCTGAATGCTGAGAACTGACAAGACCACGCCCACAATTCGTGCACCGTGTTGTCACGTTCACCGATTCAAATGTCCTCTAGTGTGAATTAATATAATTATTATTTACACAAATTTATTATAAGCAATAAGCCACAAATCAAAAGGGAACATTTTGAGACAATTGAATTTTTATTGCTAATTAGGAGTATTACCAATACTCAATTGAGAATATATAAATTATCCAATAACCAATATTTCTGAAATCCCCAATCGTATTTTAACACATGGCAACTGTGCTATGGTCTGCCCCTACTTATGAAATCGTGGCGTCAGTTTTACTGGTGGTAATTTCTAGCCGTTTGAATATTACCGTGGCAATATTGATGGTTTCAACACCTCAAAATCGACCCGAAAAATCTTGAGAAATATGAAATTGCAAGGTATTTGAGTGATGAATCTATTCAAGAAATGAAAAAAAAAGTCCACTCCCATATTCTGATTGGTCTATCATGTACGATGTAACCAACGTGAAATAAGGCGTTTTCGGAAACTTACTCTGGGTTGTTGACTCGATCTGAACGGGTCACGTGATGGATCAGTCGGATCACTTATCCTAATACTATAGTTTACGAACTTATCAGGTTACTATTTTATTGAGTTAGCTTTATACCTCTTC